ATTTTATATAAATAAAGAATCTTTTGGATAAACCAAAAGGCATCAATTGATCAATACAAAATCTAGCTAGTCAATAACTCACTTCTTATTTATTGTTTAATGAAATTGTACATTAATTGATTTTATAATTATTAATTTTGTTATAATACTTACTTTACATACTACTGGATACTCAACCAAGTTGCTATAGAATATTAGTACTGTATTGCTATAGAACCATCACCACACTAAGTAAATACAAAAGAGATATTTATTAGTAGTAGTGTTACCTATTCTAATTTAATAGAATAGAAGAAGTCGCACTGCGTCGCAATCCTAAAAGCAACTGGATTGAATCATTGAAATATTGAAATAGACGTTGGTTGAACACTCACGTCACGAGATTATCTACCTGAGCCCAGGACTCGTAACACTGTAGTAAACACAATGATACTTTCACTATCTGAAACACTGTCTTTTCAATATTCAGTGAAAAAAAGTTAGTAAGAGTCAATAATAACACTTCTTTCATTCATTTTGCTAAATGAAAGAAAAGTGAAAAAACTCAAAATACGTATAAAAATCTCTTTCACAATAATAAATTGCTTACAAATATTGATTATATGATATTTAAATAATATAAGAAGAAAACATTATTGATGATGTACTGTGTATTTATCCTAGTTATCTGTGATATTCTCCTCAATCTGTCAAGTCCAGGAATCAAATACAAAAATAAATCAATAACAAGACATGTCCATGCATTTATTGTAGGTAATACTTTGAATTTGCTTAAAATTTGCATTAAAAATTATTTATATATTGAATATTTAGCGAGCTGTAGAAAACAACTAGTTAGTAATGTTAGAAATGATGATAGAGATAGCAGAAAAAGAAATTAAAAAGGCAAAGCAAGTGGCAAAGAAAAAATAATAAAAATTACAAGCTGGAGATATAATTGATAATGATGATGATGATGATAAGAAAGATGATGACTATGATAATTTTGTAAGTTTCTTTAATACTCTTTGTAATTTGTTTCATTGAAGTCTTATAAAAAAATCAATTTTTTATTTAAAAGATCACTGACTTGGATTGTAAATATATGTAATATAGTTTTTTTTAAATTTATATTTTATTATTATATATAAATACTTTACAATAAAATAAATATTCTTTACTATTGTTTAATCTATAAATTTTACTATTACTTGAAATTGTTATTGTTATTGCTGCTTGAAATTATTACTGTTACTTGAAACTGACATTGTGAAGTTTTGTGTAGAATTTTAAAAAAAATTTAAAAAATCTGCACAGACCTACATTTTGTTGCAGATCTGTACAGATTTTTTAAAAAATTTTTCTTTATCAATTGTCATCAGGTTCAAAGTTTTGCACAGATTTTTGGACCTGAAGATTTGTGCAAAACTGCATTCTCAAAAATTTTTTGATGTAATTTTGGTTAGATTTTCTTTTGCTTTAGATTTAGATTTATTATTTTATTTCATTATAAATATCATTCAGTCATAATTCAAAGTAAATTGTTATAAATATAGTTATTATTGTTATTTTAAAATACTTTTATATGCAAAAGCTCAAAATAGTAATAATATAAATAGAAAAGCAAAATATGGTGATTATAAAGAGATATGACTATAAATGTGTGTGATTATAGAAAGTTTAACTATATTTTTAATTATTTTTAAAGTTAAAATCAATTTACAAATATACTAAAATTTTAATTTCATGATTTTATAAAGCAAGCATGTAAAAAGATTATCAAAGAACTCATTTTTATTATTTTCTATTTGATTTTCAAGAAATGTTATTAGATAATGAAAAAATACTTGATAAAGAACACTTAAAAATATATTAATACTATTAGTCATAATATGTGAATATTATTATTTATTAAAAAAATTCATTATCAAATCAGTTATAAATTTGTAAAAAATTTTTGGATTTTACATCTTTTTCTTTAATTTATTTTAGATAAAAGACAAATATTATAGCAAATGCAATAATTCAAAACACAATATTTATTAAAAAGATGCTTTGTTGATCTCATTACAAGTTTCAACAATAATTGATTTCAAAAGCAAAAGAAAAAGAAATCCATGTGATAATTCCAAATGAGACTTACACATCAAAAAGGTGTAGTTGATATGAAAACGTTCAGAATATTGAAGGATCAAAAATGTACAAATGCAAGAATTGCAATATAAAAATAAATAGATATTAATGGCATCCATTGATTATTATTAATATGTTGCAATCCATCCGCATGTTATATTAAAGATAATCATTTGTGCATAAAAATTGTCACGTCCCCCCCCCCCCCTCCCGGGAATGCGTTTCGTGTTCTATTAACTTTTAAAATTTAGCTAAATGGTGTAGCAATAAAAGTATGTCATCAGCGATTTTTACCAAAATTGACTAAAAAAAGATACCAACCAAATCGCAAAATATGAAATATTAATTAGTTTCGTCGTTATGGCTATTCACAAGATAGCTCATAGACAGAATTTTGAGGCAATAAATAAGCGCTTGATGCATTACACATTTGATCTTGGTTGATCACACACCACAATATAGAAATCTGTACAACAAACACGAATTATTGCATTTTTCACTATTAAAATCTAAATCGTCGCTTTCGCCATTGAAATCTAAATCGTCTCTTTCGCCATTCCCTTTTCCCATTCAAATTCTCAGAACTAAACACACTCACGCTCACACTCTTTATCACTCCACAAACAACAAATATTTAACCTAACAACATTTTAAAAAATATAGAAATGAGAGACACTGGTCGTCTCTTTGTAATCGGCGTAATACTACTAATATGCTTCATCGCATACAGCAGCCAAATATTTATATTCTGGGATTACCTTGGTGGTCTGAACGTCGAGTGTCTAAAAGTACTAGGGCCATTTAATTTTTTCGTGTTGAGTATATTTTGGAATTATTACTTAACATGTACAACTGATCCGGGAAAGGTGCCGATCGATTGGGTGTGTATTTTGGAAATTGGTTTGGGAATGTTGTGAAATGAGGAGAGAAAAACATTAACATTTTCGATTGATAAACTTTTAGACTCCATCAGATCAAGATGGAATAGAAATGAAAAAAACAACACACGCACCACGATATTGTCGAACATGCAAAAATTATAAACCGCCACGATCACATCATTGTAAAACCTGTAAAAGGTATGGGTGTATATGTGGATGTATTTTTTACATTGGATTTTACTAATTATTAATTTCATTCAATTGATAATAGATGTGTGCTCAAAATGGACCATCATTGTTAGTATTTTTTAAAGATTTTTCGTTTTTGGTATTTTACAAAAATATTTTAATAAACAAATTAAAAAAAAGGTCCATGGACAAACAATTGCGTCGGTCACCACAATTACGGACACTTTATCCGTTTCATATTCTGGATTGATGTCGCGTGTATTTTTCACTTCATATTACTAATAAAATCTACATTTCACATAATCGAAGAATTGTCGTATATTCGGGTAAGCTACTTGACGTGTTTTACAATTATCAGTTATATCACTTTCAATCTACAAAAATAATTTTCAAAACACTGACCAACAAACTTTTGTTACTAGTAGTACGACGACACAGAAGCAGAACCAAGCATAACGAAAACAATATTCATCGTACTGAACTTTGTTGCGTGTCTTCCCGTATTGTTTGGCGTTGGCCCGTTGAGTCTCTACCATTTTTATTGTGTGTGTTCGAATATGAGTACCATTGAAAGTTGGGAAAAGGAAAAAGTTGCCACGATGGTTAGACGTGGAAAAATTAAAGAGGTACTTTAATTATTTTTTTTTGGTGGTTTCTGGCTGTATGAACTATAGATTTTAGTAGATAAAATTATGTGATGTTGAATAATTTATAGATCAAATATCCATACGACATTGGTATACTTGCAAACATTAAATCAATACTCGGTGACAATCCGATACTTTGGTGTATGCCACAATCGATAACTCAAGATGGACTGTCGTATCCGATTGCAAAAGATGCAGGTATGAAGAATGGAGAATCGGATTTGGATATGGAGTATCTAGTGTAGTAAAAACTCGAATTAAATAACAAAAAAATATATATAATTTGACGAGATGAAGAATGTAACATATTATTCGCACAAATTAATAAATATTACAAAAGTACACTTTTGACAATATCAATCAAGAAATGAATAATATAATACATCAAAAAAATTGATACCAGATCTAACAAAATATTCCCGTAATTTCCCTACAAAAGACAACAAGCAAATATTTTTACCGTCGATATAAAATCACCTCTTTACGCGTTCCTATCTAAATATACATATTTTTAAATACTATTATTTATTATTTTACCAATTACGCGAACAGATAAAACACGAACATGGCCACCCAAAGACCCCGACAGCAAACCACCCGCGATAATCCCACCAAAACCATGGGACATTTACAATCCACAGCACTTACGACAACAGGTCAATACCGCTTCTCATCATTATTATAAACAACGACGACACTATAACAGTAATCAGCAACAACGCGACAGTAATGAAAGAGGAGGGAGTGGAGGATACGTAATAAGTGATATTTCTTTGGAAGAGCGTCAATTAGGGATTCATCGTTATGATTATCGACATCAGCGAAACAATAATAATCGTCATCATAATGGTATTGATAATGTTGATGGTAATAATCCAGAACATAATGATCCATATCACGATACTGACGGAAGTACAGTGTATTCGACAGAAAGTGAATTTACGGATGAAGATTTAAGTGACGATGACGACTTAGAGGATATAGATGAAGTTAATAAATATAATGGTGATCATGTTGATGAATTTGATGATGAAAATTATCCAGAATATATTGGTGTTGGAAGAGGTGATAATGATAATACTAGTAATATAGATTCGCAATTGATATCGCAACAACAGCAAAGACAACATCCTCGTTACTCTTCTCACCCGTACAAAAATTACTCTTCAAGAAACAATGTTAATCGATCCTCGCATACCAATTATAATAACAATTGGTATACAAAGACACGAACACGATCAGCAAATAGTTATACCAATTATAATAATGAAGAAAAGGACGATGATGATGATATGCCAATTGGAATGATGATTGCACAAAAACAATTGCAAGCAATGAACACTAATTCAATAACACAATCATCGACAACAGCATTATCTCCGAAATCTATCGTGTCTGAAATCACATCTTCATTGATTGGAGAAAAACGAGAATCAACGGTAGGAGAGAAAATTGAGAAACTTGATTAAATTATTATTTTTTCTTAGATTAATTTAATTGACTAATTTTGGGTAAAATATCGGAATATCTCAAAATCATAAATGTAATAAAAACACTTCCACAAAGTTTTTTTGAATTGTTCTATGTTAACTAGCATAATATTTGACTCATTAAACCTGTTTATTGTGAAGGAATCTCTAATTATAAATTAAAGGTCAATAAAATAATGATCACCGAGAAATTGAGACGAGAAAGATTTTACTTTACTAGCATTCTTAGCGACACAAAGTCCATTGGTCACTTTATCGGCATCTGATGCCAGTCACGTGTAAATAGACCAATCCAATTGCAAAGATCAAGTGTAACATATAAATTTGACCAATCCAATTGTAAGATCATGTGTAATACGCAAAATTCAAAACAGACGAAAAATTGCAAATAACTCAAAATTTTACTATAACAATTAGCTTTCAACCTCTAAGTAAAAATGCTCAGCATGAGATTTTAGATATAGTCCAGTCTTTGAAAGCTAACACCTTATCTAACAAAATTTCTAATAAATTCGATAATTAATGAAACTACTCCGCTTCCCCCCAGAAAGGGTCAATGATGTGATACAAACAAGAGGTGGATATATAGAATGGTAATCTTAGTTTAGCGATGTGTAATTTGGTTTTTTTAACAATAGCTGATATTTCCTTAAGGAGAAACTTGCCTTTAAATATTATCCTTCAGATCGGTCACAATGAACGGAACGCTAAACAAATTAAAAATTCAAGTTAGTTTAGTTTCAAAAGATAGATGAAAATAAAAATTGTATTAAGTGATTGTTATTATTTTAATGAATAAAATCCACTTTCTTTTGGTCTTGATAATTCTTCAATGGCGAGACAATCGAATCTCGCCATTTTTTTCCGCGTTTCGTTTCTTGAGCGAGTCACTGTATATACTAAAGTGACCGATTCATAATTCGTCGATCAACTTTTATTAGAATTGATCGCTAAAAAAACGAATCGAACAATTTAGGACGTGATACCTCGATCTCCCGTAATCCTATTCGAACAAAAATAATACCATTTGATTCGTATAGTCAAGACGAATCGAATGGCATTATTGTTATTTGAATCGGATTACGGGAGATCGAGGTATCACGTCCTAAATTGTTCGATCCGTTTTTGTTAATATGAATCTATTACTTTAGGATGCAATATTTCGACATCCAATGATCCGATTTGAACAAAAATATTACTGTTCGATTCGTCTCGACTAGGCGAATCGAATAGTAGTATTTTTGTTCAAATCGGATCATTGGATGTCAAGAATTAGATTATTGGATATTGAGATGTGTGTTATGAAATGATTATATTTGGGATGCAAAGTTTATGAACATACAATACCCGATATCGATATAGAATCTCTATCAATCAATAAAAAGGTATCAATGATCAGCGTTTGTGATGTTCTTTGTGCTTGAAGAATTTCAGAGCATTAGATTCACACTTAAAAGAGTTTAGCTTCAATTCAAGAGGAAACCCCGAATTAATACGTTAAAATTAAAATACTTTGCAACTTGGAGGAGATACATAGTAAGCCCTTAGTTATGAATTAAAATAGGTTTTATCATTTTTGGCAAGAAGACTTTGGTGAAAGATTTTGTCTTCAGTATTTCGACTATGCCCAAAATGCTACAATTTATCATGAACGACCGGAAATCAAATGAGATTATGGATCGAATGGAATATGGGACAAGCTAAAAATTACGGGCGAGTCTATTTGTCGCCGCGGTGACAATCACCGATGACTGTCACCTGCGGCGACAAATAGATTTTCTCAAAAATTATAGTCACGAAACGAAAAACGTTAAATTCATTGATGAGACGACAATTGATAAATGAAAACAATTGACCTTTTTCTATGGTCAAGTGGAGTTGTGAGAATTGATGAGTATTCAAACAGGATGTAGGATTCCTTGTCTTTATGAAAAATAGTTTATTAAAGCTGAGCTTTGTGTTCTGAAATCGATAATTTAGAAGAGCAGCGCAATATTATTTCGGATTCCTTATAATAATTCAGTGAATCGAATATATAACAGAAGGCAATTTTGTTACAGTTTCAAAAGCAATCTGGGACATGGGACCAATTATTTGTGACGATATGAATATGTTACTTTGCAAGATCAAATACAGTCAAAGCTGGATATAACGATAAAATTGTACATATGAAATTTCATATGAAATTTTTGAAAAATATCGTTATATTAAGCTTATCGTTATGTTGTCATATAAAATGGGAAATATAAACTATATTGCTATAGCGATATTCAAAACATATCGTTATATGAAGGTATCGTTATCCAGCTTTGACTGTAATCATCCAGTAGCTTTCAAAGCAATATCCAACTCAAGAAATTGTATTTGTATTTCATAAAAGAATTAAGTCATTATTTATTTTTCATTATAAACTTATGTATTGCTATTTTGATATACAAAGCTAGGAGAAATACCAGTCTAGTTCATATAGAGGATATGGAATTTCATAAAATCCAAATACGTACCGGAAACTTCAGAGAATATGTTATGAATTCATGGAAATCACTCGTATATTAATATAAAAAAGGCGCGTAAAATCTACGGAAATTGCAAGGAATGGTACTTACAAGCACGGAAAACGCGACAAATTCCACATAAACACGAGTGTTTTTTTAGCACGGAACCACGGACCGTCAAATTCGTGCCATTTCCGTGTTAAAAAACCATGTCCGAAACATGTTTATGTATACGGAAATTGTCGCGTTTCCCGTGCCATTTCGTACCATTCTTTGCAATTCCCGTTTTATGCTTGCCTTTTTTTATAGGGAGTACTAGAAGGCACATATATTCATTATGTGTGAGATATGAATACAGAAAGATAGAAATCATGATACTGGACTAATTTCAATATATGTGATGGCATACAGCCTGCTAGTTCTGAACAAATTCCATCAGAATACGTATTGCAATCCTGAACATTTGATGCGACCAACTGCAGAAAAAACAGTTCGAATATTACTCAAATAAAAAACACAAAAGAATTTAATAAACATCCTGGTGCTATTTATAAAAGTCGTTCACTCAGTGAATTAATAAAAATGTCAAATATACATGAGAAATTTCTTATGAGCTCATTTATATTCAAGTTATTATTTTATAAATTTCCTACAATACGATTTTGGGTACATGTATATACGCAAGATGATACACTGTCGTTATCCAAATATCATGTCATTATCACAATAAAAAACTTATAGCGTTAATATTCTCATTTTTCCTTCCAGCATCCTAGACATAACTGTGACTTTGTCTTTTTGGGCAAGACAAAATGAGCAGTTGCACTCAAACCCCCATAAATACAACATTGTTTGGCGGTTTTGATACGAGGATTCCTCACCAATATAACTAATAGTGACCGTTTCATTTTTCTTGATCCTCTTTATAGCAATTAACTGTTCTCCATTTACTGATGCATTTGGTCGACATTCGTGATTGATAAGTGAGATCAAGGAAAACACCGAGAGAACATCTGGTCGTTCTTGATGACGACGTGAAAACGTGTTGGACACTGCAATACTGTAACATGTAAGAAATATCCAGAAATCAAATCTGAGATCTCCCATCGGAATATCCAATATTTCTAGTGCTTTCTGGTGAATAAAAGTCAAAGGTTCAGGAAGGCACATATTTCCAGAAAAAGGTTTGTTTCGAGCGAGATGTTTGATTTCTTCAATATCCAATGGACAGATATCTCGCTGTTTAGCAATGGCGAAAAGTTTGAGAATAAATACGGGGAAAAGAGAGGTGGATGATCTTCCTTCCTGTATGAGTTCTAAGATGGGTGTAAGGTCTTTTCCGCAAAGAGGTTTATGGAAGGTTTCGAGTGCTTCTTGATAGCATTTTTCATTACAAAAAACTTCATTGCAATTTGAGATTTCGCAGATGAATTTGTTTCTGTCAGTAATCCTCTCATTGCAATTGTCACATCGCTCTGCCAGTCTGCTGTTGACATGAAGGAATTTTTTTTCTTCCCAGATAATAGTATTTCTTGTAATAGTACGTTGTGCTTCTATACCAAAATTAATTTCACTATTACTAGAACTTTCTATTTTAAGATTCAATCTAACTAATCTAAGTTTTGATCCAGAAAGCTGCAAGATTTTTTGCTGAAGTATCTGAAAGTTTTCATCTGAAGTCCTATTTGCTTTTCTAGGATCCCATGGATATCCACGATCATAAGAATACCAGCCTAGTTCTCGATTGCTGTATTGATCTTTTTTGTTTTCACAATCAAGAAGTATTTTTTCCACAGTCTCCCAGTCAAACGATACATAAGTGTTGTTCCTGCATTCTAGCAACTCTTTGCATGAATCTATTGCCTTACTCCACATCTTTAATTTTGAATATGCGAGACATTTACGACAATCTGCTTTTAATTTCATTTGATTCAATTTATTGATGGTTAATGTGTAATTTTTAACAGAGATGTTAGAATCAGCTGCAGCTGGTTTGACCCTAGCAACAAGCTCAGTGATGTCAAATTCTGATGCTCCTGCAAGTTTTTGGAGTTCAAGCAAAATCTTTTCCGTGATAAGTTGAGACGCGCGAATTGAATCAGATAAGGCAAGCTCTGGATATCCGAGTTTGAGGAATCCCAAGGCTCGATTACTCCATAACGCCGCATCTCTGGGATTTAACAAAATTCCTTTGGTATATTCATCTCGAGCTTGATTATAGTCTTGATTTTGTACGGCTTCGTTGCCAAGTAAACGATGTTCAAGTGAAGCCGCTATATCAGCTTCCGAAGACTTTAAGAACAAAATAATAGAGATCAATAATTTTATGACAAATATATTCTTATAAATAAAATAATAATTTACCATATTCTTTTTCAAACTTTGGTGATGGAACAGTTTAGGACGCCGGATGGAAGCAACTATGCTAATTTATTTATTGATAAAAGGAAGCGCTGGATCAAAAAGCTCTATCTCCATGTGAGCATCTGTTGTGCTACATCAGGATCAAATTACGTATACAATGGCAAAAAGTACATATCGATATGCATCCAGAAATAAAAATTGTCTCGAATTGCCATTTAATACTTTTATTTGTGATTTTCGGAAAATGGTGAAAAAAAAAACGAAAATATGCAAGTCTTAAGTCACGAATTTGATTTTTTAATAAAGATCGAAATTACATAAAATAGTAACTTTTAGGATGATTTAAATGATGTTGAGATTGTACGTGATTTCTTATAAAAAGAATACGGGTATAGTCTCTATGCTCCCATTGCCATTGGCTATTCTAAAGGTAATTTTCCGTCACAAAATTTTATGTGTTATGAAATGAAAGCTTTAGGTAATTTGGAGTTTGCTCGATTAAAAGATGATATGCTTTTCTATTAACCAGGCATTTATCTAGTTAAAAATTATTTCGGAATCAACGTTCGTCTTAACTATCCATGGTAAACATCAATACTCTAACGTAATCATACTGATGAATTGTCAACCTGATTTTAGAATACTATTCGTTGCAACGCGTTTCCTAAGCAGAAATCGGGTAATTAATAATGTTCCTCGAATCATTAAAACTGGTAGCGTGAAAGAATTTTGTGACCTATGGGTGTGGCGCACCTAAACTCATCTATGAATTTTTTAAACTAAGAGAAGTTTATAGAACTTGGAACATAAAATTTGTTGAGGAGTTTAGGTGCGCTGCACTATACTATTTCCAATTCATGTTAATATATTCATTGAGATTTATCCATTTGTCAGGATATTTATAAAGTGTCTATGCTCAGCGTTAAAATAATTTAATCTGGTTAATAAAAAATAGTTGATTATTTATTGTTTATCGATTATACATTTGAGTTTGGGTATATAGATTCAAGATCTCATGATCCATAATAGAATATCAAATTCCACTACCGTCTAATAATATACTGTATATAAAAACTAAATTAAAAATTTATTGTGGCAACTTCGAGTTTAATCCGCTCGAATTCGCGTTATTGGCTGATACAATCGGTGAAAAAGATAACAACACATCGCGTTAGATTTTCAATACTCTGAACGTTAACATACATTCTGATTAAAAATTTGACATATAAAATGTTCACTTCATCGATAGTTTAATTATATTTTTTTCGTGTTTAATCAATTAAAGACATTTCTATTTGCGCAAGTTTTATAGAAGTATTGTTTTTTGGTGTTGCTAATACTACAACTATTGCCAATGGCAATTAATATTTCTAGGCATTGACATTGACATTGCCACAAGTTGGTGCATTAGCATCTCTCAACGTTAACATCGCCATTTCTCGCATCGCTATGACTTCGATGCATCAATTTATATTTTGAAAAAAAAAACTCACACAACTACAGACAAAAATTAATTTTTAATAATATTGTCTTTCTTTTTATTACTGGCTGTTTTATTGTACATTAAAACAATTTCAGTACAATAAATACCAAAAGATTTAAAAGTCATTATATTGGTATCGAAAATTGGATGATTAAAAATCGGGAAAAGCAACGAAGCTTCGCGTTGTATTATTTGATAAGGGTTTGGTATGGACCGATTTTTGATTTTTGATTGATATCACTATCGCTATTATTATTTTTCTGAACTCTTTGATAGCACAATCTACAATTAATCGATCTTAAATTAATTAATTCTTTAAAATCATTTCCCATCGCTATCCCTAAATCCATAAAAATTTTAACTTCAATCGATAACGTTAATGTTTGGAATAAATTAAGTAAAAACTTATAAGGTTTTCAAATAAACAACGGTAAAACAAAATGCTTTGATTAATCGACGAAAAAATTATCATTCAAATACACACGGAGTTGTATCTGTTAGTCGGCATGAATTCACTAACACCAGATCAGATGATCCCACGATCGTCGGCGACATACGACGGCGACAAAGGAATTAAAGTAAATTATATAAATTAAAATAAAGTTTAAATAAAGTTCAAGTAAAATAAGAAATAATATAATTAATTTAGGACAATAAAATAATAAAGGAATAATTTAAATGGTGCACCCGGTTAATGTTAATTAACGTTAGAGATTATTTAAGGTCAGGGTCAGGGTTAGAGTTTGGCGTCAAGGTTATATGTGAAATTGCCACACCGACATTCTTAATTGGTGAACCAAGTTGGATTTAGTCCATATTTTTTTCTTTTTTTTGCATCGGATTTGTTTTTCCGGGTTGATCAAAAATCTGCACATTTTTATTGGTCTGTGCCACTGGCAGATCAAAAATTTGCGCATCCTTAATGGTTACAAAAAGGGTGCGCAAAATGTATGGGGCATCATTTAACAAATCCCTAATATAAATATAGAAACATGCTGTTTTTCGTTTTTATTATTTTACATCGTATGGGTAATTAGAATGATGAAGGAGAACGAATCTCCTTTTAGCTTACCCAACCAAATATAATTTCACACACTCTCCGTGATCTTCACCACCTCTACCTCAATACATCCAAAACCTTGACCAGCATCTAAACCAAAAACGCTAAATTGCAGAGTCGCTAAAACGCTAAAGTCTAAAATGCCGAAACGCCGAAACACCAAAATTAAAACGCTGAAATGTAAAATGTGTTACTTTGTGTCCAGCAATCTCTGGTCAATACTCTATAAATTGTGCACGATTTCCAGAGATTCCCATCTCCAGTATAATAAAATCATAAAACATAATGGGTAATACAGATTCATTCCCTCTCTTATCTCAAACAAAATCAGCCGTTCAAGGGCTATGTGGGGATTCGAAAGGAGCCTGGGACACACAAATTAACTTTTCTAAAGGCTGCCTTATCGTATCTCAAGTTAGATCAGCAATAGAATATATAAAAGGAGATTCTAAAGCCGCTAAAGAAACACAATTATATTGTTTTGGTTGTGTAAGTAATTTTGTAAATGGAATTCCTGTGATTGGACACATTAAAGGTGGAATTCATTATGCCTTTGGTGATAATGAAGGAGGGAATGAAGCAATGAAAAGTTCTTCAAGGACTGTTGGAGTAATAGGAGGTGGTGTTTGCGGTTTTTTTCTCGGAGGTCCTCCTGTAGCGGCTCTTGGAGGGGTAGCTGGTGGACAAACTTTGGATGTGATTACTTCCGTTATTGATTCCGCTGTACATGGAGAACTTCGCCCTAATGGGTCTTGGGCCGCAGTTGGTCAAGCAATTAAGAATCCTAATTCGGGAAATGTATTTGATTGTGTGGTGGCTATTACAAGTGACGCTTTGACTGGTTATTTTTCTGGAAAGCGCATCGCCAATAAAATAACGGCTATAAGAGCCGTAAAGAAAGAAGCTAACAATCCTGATCTCGTGAATGCTTACAAACGAGCCACATCTGGTCAGTTAAAACCAAAACTAAGAAAAGAAATTAGAAAAATGAAATTTGGTCCTTGTGATGTGCATGTCTTAACAGAGGGGGAAAGAAGAGGACAAATTTCCGTATCTACGGATAAATTGGGGAGACTTATCTATGACGTTAAGGGTATTGATAATAATAACACTTTAAAACTTTCATTTAAGGAATATCTTCCAAAACACGAATATAAAAAGCCAGGACTAGGATATAAAAAAATTATCTTTAAAGACACTTACAAACAAGTAATTGTACAATCGACTATTGACGAGATAGATATAAAAGTTGATTCTGAGACATTTATCGCAATTATACGATCGACTATTCAATCTTCTGTGACAGATATAGGAATTGGCCAGGTGATAAACTTCACTTACCAAAACATAAAACAACTTTACTCCTTAATTCTGCTTTTGTCACGTTCAATGATTTCCAGTTAAATCGCATGTCAATGCTAAATTAAAAATAATGTTTATTATATTATAACGAACATTTAGCATTTAATTATCCACTTAGGTTATTAACGTTAAACGTTAAGTAACGCCGATTATTTTATTTTTTCGATATACACATTGCGTTAAAAAGACAAAGCCCGAAATGTAGATAAACTTTATTAGTTGATCTTTATTAAAATATAGGCTTTGTGATACATTTACACTAATTTTTTTTTAATATGAGATACAGGCAAGAGATTAATACGTGCGAAAAATTATTTTTGCTGAAGTAAACCTGAACTTTATTTTAGAAGAAAAAAGGGAGAGACACAACCTGTTACACATGATCTTTATAACTTATTGCTGAGATGTTGGCATATTGCGAATTGCGCTACTTATTGTGCCCTATGATAAATTCAAAAATTTTATTGTCATATCAATCAGGATCCTAATGCATGCACGCTTACCTGCCATACCAAGTAAACGTTTCAACTCAATCAACTCTTTATTCAGATCTTTTGCATTACATTCACGCAAAATCAATCCACCACACAAGGGTCTTACCTGTCAATTCCTCTCTCTTTACCATTATGTTCTCTAACCTGACATCTCCATGCACTACTCCTCTTGCATGTATTGCCTGTAAGCCCTCAATAGCCAACTGCTTCTCTTCTTTCGTGATATTATTTTCTAACTCAGCAAAAGATCTTCCAGCAAGTGACATAAAAATAAAGACGAATGCCTCATGAAGAACTCCAAATTTTAGAAGCTTTGGTATGTAAATTTCTTGGATGTCCATGAGAGGTCTGAGGTAGATTTTAATTTCGTTTAGCATTTCGGTTATAAGATACTCATTTTTATATAGATCAACCATTTTGAGAGCGCCTATTTTTTCGTAAATCCTGGCTGTAAAAATAGCTCCGGATCGACCATTTCCCAACAAATCACCAAAAGAGATGATAGTTTTTCATGTTTTTGAGGAATTCACCATCACAATTATTTTTTCTTTTCCTTTTTTGGTCATACTGCGATTGATTACTCTAAAAGTCCTCATAAAAGCACCCTTTTTCTTAGAACCCGATGGCTGGTTATCATTTCCATCACCTTTATTATCTCCATCACCATTATCTTCGCCACCATCATTATTGTCGCCACCAAGGTCAAGATCATCACTATCATTGTCACTATTATCAGTAGTGCTATATGGTGAAGAATGCACAACTGGGTCTGCTATAGATATATTTTCAAAATATCAGAGAACGAGGCATAATTATCCGTGTGGCTCTGATTGATGATATAAACCGCAGGAGAAATGTAAATATTGTCCAGATTTTCACGTTGACGGCAAAAAACCATGTTCGAATGTATGTCGTAAGCAAGCCATATCACAGGTCATTAACAACCGTATATCCAAAGGTTTGCCTAACGATTTTAATAATCTTTTGATGTTTAGTGTATGCAGTTGTTCCATCATCATCAACTGTCAATGCTGTGTTATATGCCTCGAACAATTCGGTTCCATCTTCTATCAAATTTTTCATCAGCTGTTATGGTTTAATTTCGACTGCTGAAAGTATCTGAGAAGCTTGCAAATTATTCGAGAGTTTTTTATTATCGGCGCTACAGCGTATAACGTCTGGTCGACCTTTAACTCGTTGAAACATATAACACTTGCCCCAACTTTCTGGTCTTTGTAAAAGGATTAATCTTTTATTGTTGATAGATTCCATCATTTTCAAGAATATATCAACAACAGAGCTAAATATACGGTTGCTTGTATCAAGGGATGTTGATGCATTAAAGGCATTGGTAAGAAAGGTGTCCCACGTCAGAACTGGTATATTAGGAACTTTTCTCGTTGCTGACTGTTGTGCTCTTTGTCTTAATCGAAAAAATTTCAGGGATGGGAATAACTACTTGGAAAAGTTCTTGTTCGGTAAGAAACTCTGATAGTGCAAAATGAAGATGAGTATATAAGGCACAAGGAATATTAGCATATATGAAACGTCTATCAAATGTTGAGCCATATTAATTTTTACTTCGAGTAAATCTGTGAGAACATACCGGGTTTCGAGATTAGAACCTCAAGTAGTTGAGTTTAATGTTATCATTTAGGGAGGTATTTATAGATAACAATATGATCTTTATTTATGGTGAAATAATTGAACAAGCTAACCACTTCCCCTTCGATCAACTTATTTTCATTTTTGATGGCGAAATGGCAATGTTTCTGATTAATAACAAAAATAACTGATAAATTAAAAATTTTATTTGATTGTTGATATTGTTAAAATTGATTTTTCAAAATCACTTTTATTCAAAGACTCTTATTTTATTAACGTATCTTCGTTACTGGATTACAATAATTGCTTCTTGTGCTGATAGATGAATCTTTAGATTTTCTTGCTCCAAAGGATCACAACCTCAAATAATGCAAATGAATCATAAGGTGGATAAGGATATTGTGGCTAAGTTAAAATTTTTACTATATCGATATATAGCGATAGAACAAAAATCAAAATCTATAAATGTTGCGATTGAAATTTTTTATTTTAGTCAAAGATAAAGTCTTCGGCGAAATATTTTTACACTATTGTTTTCATTTTCGTCCCTATAACTTATTACTTTTTTATAATTCTTTACCCCATTTCTGTCATGATTTGATGATTCAGCCAAACATACAATAACTACAATGACTTTTACAATTAATGATAACTATATCGGAACCATCAATGGTGGAATATTTGGATGGGAGCAGGTAATTGACGTGTTTTCTTTATCTTG